CTTCTAATTTAATCAAAATCAAAAATAAAATTACCTGAATCATGACATGCCTTGCAAGTAACTGCAGGCTGTCAGATATTCTTTCATACCATACCTGCTATTACAGTATTAAGATCAGGCTTCAGGACATTACAAAGGGAAATATGTATTCTAGTATTAACTTTCTTTGGTAAAAACTGGTAGAGTAATTGCTGGAGTTAATGTCTAGATCCTAATAAAGTAAAGGAAGAAACCTACTAAAATTTATTTCATTTTATTTTATTATTGAATTATCTCAGGCTTAGGCCTCAGCTAAGTAATTGGACTTAATACATATTAGTATATTCCTAACATTGGTTTAATAAGTGTGTGGCATCCATGAACAAGTGCCTATGTTTCTAACTTTACTATGTTTCCTTTCAAACCACTGTGTTAATGTGTTCTAAACTAATTCTTGTCTCCTCTCTCAGTTGATGCTTTGCTGTTGAATGTTAATGAAACTACAATGACTTAGTTTAAAGCATTAGTCCCAGTACATAAAATTTTTTAAAAAATCCTATTGTCCCTATAAGTCTCACATTAGGACATGTTTGTTTGTTTAATTAAGTTTTTGTTTTTGTGTTTGAGGAGTACAGAGTTTCTACCTATCCCTTCATTTGAGCAGGAAGAGAGAAGACCCTGAAAGCAAACTTCAAGTTGTACTTTGTTGGAAGCCTTTATATAAGGCATATAATACAGGAAAGCAGGATGAAACGTGTTGCTATAGGTTTTGAATTTTCTCCTTTAGGTCATAGGGGGATGACCTTTTATTAGATAAAGTAGTCTTCCGAGCAGCCAAACTAAGTGGCACATAATCTTTTGTGAGTTCCTATGCAGAGAAGGCCATAAATATTCATCTAGATAGGGCTTCTAAACTTTTTATTGCCTTAAACTTTTTACTGCACATTAGATTGCATATATCTTAGAACATAAGGCCTGTCACAGCTGAACAGATAAATGGCGCAGCCATAGTGGAGCACTGTTTTTGACGGAGAAATCTATCTGGTGTTCCAGAAGGTGAAGAAGGTCACAGAGTACCACTGACACATAATTGTGCAATGCTACCCTTGGATGATCAATATTTTTGCAATGCTTAAGTTGCTCTCCTGGGAGTAAGATATGTTGGAAATTTTTTTTTCTTTCAGGACACTAAAAAGGTATTTAAAAAAATTAGTTTCATTACACTAGACAAAATTATCCTGCTATTTTAATAAATAGTAACAATCATTTTTGGGGAGCTTAATTTACTTTTTTGAAATTATCCATGTGCTCATTTACTAACTTTGTATATTGTGATTTTCCCCACAAAGGCATAAAGATCTATAATAATAAAAGCATAATATGCTTATTAGACCGGGCGTCCTTCTGGACAACCTTCTGGTTGAAGCCAGGGCTGCGAGGGAAACCCAGGTTCCCGCGCCTGCAGATGGCCAGAGGGAAACCCGGATGACAGCAGCTGGGGGAAGGAAGGCCTACTCTTGCACGAATTTTTTGCATCGGGCCTCTAGTAAACAAATAAACAAACAAACAAACAAACAAACAAACTCACTTGGTAATTGATCAACTGGATTTACATATGTTAGTCCAGGGAAGTAAGTTCCAAGTTACTATGCTACACCTGGCCTCAATTCTAGTTTTGAGAGAATGTGACCATGGCACACAAAATTCACAAGAACAAAGAATGAAGCGTACTCATTCTTGATGCCTTCCAGGCTTGGCATTAGAATTCATCCTTAATCAACCATGTAGCAAGCCAATATTTTCCTGCTGGGTGAATGCCTCTTCTGGTATAGCCTTATGTTTCAAGTTCAATGAGAAACAACCAATGGAGTTTAATTCCAGGTTGACCATCTGCCAATGGTTTTTTGTTCATTTGATGTCAGTTTAATGAGAATGACTGAAACCAAGATGATCATATCTCAATGGTTGCAACATGCATTTTTGTTTTGCTTGTTAGTTCAGATTATAGAGTTGATCCAGTTGAAGCCAGTTCACAACACTATAAACTAGCCTGAACTAAATCAGAAACCCAGAAGAATCAACATTAATGAGAGGTTAGTGATACACTGAGATGTTTTGCACTATATTCTGTAACTCTATTTGCAGTCCTTTTGCGTTTAATTTCCTCATCTACAAACTAAGACTATCATGTATTTTAAAAACCTTTACCATCATATGACTAGAAACTGGCATAGAAACTTTGAATTCTTTTCAAGAAAGTATTTGCTATATTGTTTCTCTTGATTTTTCCCATTATGTTTGAAAAAAACTGAAAAAGTTACATGCCATATTAAAGATAGAATTTAATTTTTAACATAAAAATGCAACAATTTCTTAAATAATAACTGACCTTTATTGTTGTTTTTTTACTTAACATTGTTTAGTGTAATAAATCAAGATGAAATAATTTTCTTTCTTATTCCCTTTGATTGTTTTAGGGTTATAAATACAGAAATAACCAGTGATCAACATAACCTATCTAATAAAAGAGAAAGATGCTAATTGACCATACCCCCGAATTCTTCCCATTGGCTAATCAGGGCGATATGCAAATTAACTGCCAACCAAGATGGCGGCCGGCAGCCAGGCAGCTGGAGCGAACAGGAGGCTTGCTTGCTCCAGTGACGGAGGAAGCCAATGTTCCCCGCCTGCCGCTGCCAGCCTCTGAGCTGCAGTCTAAGCAACTATGTTGCAATTACAGAAGCTAAACAAAAACCAGATACCTGCTTTCAGCCGTCAGAGCTGGAGCGGAGCAGGACCGAAACAATGTTTCAATTATAGAACCCAAACAAACCCAGATACCTGCTTTCAGTAGCCGAGGTCTTAGAGCTGGAGCCAAGCCTCAGAGCTAAAGCTGGCTCTCAGCTCCAGTGACAGCCATAGAAGGTAAATAAATCCCAGAATAAAAAAAAAAAAAGAAAAAAAAGGAGAGGTTGGGAGCTTCAGTCACCTGCCAGCCTGAAAACGGCCCTCAGCCCCTCACCCAGACTGGCCAGGCACCCCAGTGGGGACACCCACCCTGAAGGGGGTGTGACCAGCTGCAAACAGCCATCATCCCCTCATCCAGGCTGGCCAGGCACCCAAGTGGGACCCCACCCTGATCCGGGACACCCTTCAGGGCAAACCAGCCGGCCCCCACCCATGCACCAGGCCTCTATCCTATATAGTAAAAGGGTAACATGCAAACTGACCCTAACAGCAGAAGGACTGGGAATGACTGGTCACTATGACACACACTGACCACCAGGGGGCAGACGCTCAATGCAGGAGCTGCCCTCTGGTGGTCAGGGCGCTCTCACATGGGAGGAGTTCTGCTCAGCCACAAGCCAGGCTGATGGCTGCCAGTACAGCGATAGTGGTGGGAGCCTCTCCCACCTCCTCAGGAGCGCTAAGGATGTCCGACTGCAGTTTAGGCCTGCTCCCCGCTGGCAAGTGGACATCCCCCGAGGGCTGCCGGGCTGCCAGAGGAATGTCGGATTGCCATCTTAGGCCCAATTCCCCAGGAAGCGGGCCTAAGCCAGCAGGTGGTCATCCCCTGAGGGGTCCCAGACTGTGAGAGGGCACAGGCCGGTCTGAGGGATCCCCCCCCCTCACGAGTGCACAAATTTTTGTGCACCGGGCCTCTAGTCCTATATAATAAAAGCCTAATATGCAAATCAACCAAACGGAGGAATGACCAGTCACTATGATGCACACTTACCACCAGGGGGCACATGCTCAATGCAGGAACTGCTCCCTGGTGGTCAGTACGCTCTCAAAGGGGGAGCGCCGCTCAGCCAGAAGCTGGGCTCATGGCTGACGAGTGCAGTGATGGTGGGGGGAGCCCCTCTGTCTCTGTGGCAGGCAGACATCCCTCTTGCAATTCAGGACTGCTGGCTCCTAATCGCTCACCTGCCTCTCTGCCCGATGGCCCCTAACCACTCTACCTGCTTTCCTGATCGCCCTCTAACTGGTCCCCTGCTGGTCTGGTTGCCTCCTAACTGTCCCCTGCCAGCCTGGTTGCTCCCTAACTGCGCCCTGCTGGCCTGGTCACCCCCTAACTGCCTCCCTGCTGGCCTGGCCACCCCCTAACTGCCCCCCCTGCCATCCTGGTCGCTCGCTAACTGCTCCCCTGCTGGCCTGATCACCCCTAACCACCTCTGCCTCCGCCCCCACCACCATGGCTTTGTTCGGAAGGTATTGGACGTCCAGATGTCTGGTCAACCTGGTCTAATTAGCATATTACCCTTTTATTAGTATAGATTTCTCCCTTTCTTTGTTTCTCTCTTAGTTTCTCTCTCCATCCAACTGGTTCTATTTCTTTGGGGAATCATGAGTAACACACAGTTCAAGATTATCATTCCAGGAACATTTATATTGTACTCAACATATGTAGAGCATGGTTGCCATTGCTGTTCTTAGGGGGCATGATATGTGTAAAGAAAACAAATTTCAAAAGTGTCACATAGAATTCACAAGATGAGTAAACTGAGGAAGGTTAGAAAAAGTTAATAAAGTGACTTTAATCCAGGTCAATCAATTCAGTTAATTCACTACTTTGATAACATCAAGAAATTCCCTAGAAATCTTTTTTTTTTACCTCCTTCTTGCCTTCACCACCAAATCTAGATAACTGAGTTTATTAAGCTATTGAGGATAACTTGAGGCATATGGTGTGTATCACATATCTATGTAACCAACAACTATACATTTTTAGTGAAACTACTGATGATGAGTTTCCCTAACATTTTCATAAAATGTTTTCTTCTGTGACATATACTCACTGCTATTCTTTTACTAAACTATATGCAACAGTGACAGGATACTCTGTAAAATTTCATGATTTTCGTTATTCATCTGTACATTAGAAATTAGGAATTATACCTAAACACGTATCTGAATTTCTCTTTCCAAGTTTGATTTTTAATTCCTTTGGTTTCATCTGCTTCTGGTCTTCCAAAAGACAAGTTTAAACAATGGGTGTAACAAGAAAAGAAACTCACATGTGCAAGTTGTTCCGTTTTCATCTAAAAGTTGATTATCAGCACAAGCACATACTCGGCCTCCTGGGATGGCCAAGCACAGTGTACTACAGCCCCCGTTATTCACTCGGCACATATTGTCACCTGCAAGAGGAATAAAGGACATGTGTCAGAGCACTCTGACTCCATCTAAAGTTAGCCGGTTATTTCTAGGAGATGTAGGTAAACTTCAATATGTACACACACACACACACACACACACACACACACACACCACATTACATATGCATTAATACATAATTAATTAATTGATGAATGCAGCCAGGATTTCTGCTGAATCCTTAATGAAATCCAGAAATGTTTGAACATATATGTTGTGCTGAGGCGAGGAATTTTCGTGTTGGTTGTAGGACAATGATCTGTGTGTAGTTGGGTACCGGAAGAGAGAGGGGGGAGGAGAGAAGACAGAATGGCATCTGTCTAGGATCGTTCCCCAGATTAGGAAGTCTGAGTTTTTTGGAAAGTAGACCACCAGCACTTGGAATGTGGCTTTGGATCCCAAGTGAACAGAAAGAAAGTGAGCTTGCGGGAAGTGGTGGGGTATTGCTCCCGTTGTGCAAGGAGTGCATTGGCATGTCAGTGCATTGAGGATATTTGTGAAGCCTTAAGAATGAGCAGCCTTGCTGGTACCAGGAGACTGTGCAACACACAAGGGTAACGTGTTGTCCCAGTGGACCTGAACGGCACAGACTCTGATGAGGCGTGCACAGACATCAATAAACAGGCACAGGGGGGAAACTCGTATGTCCATACTCATGAACATATGGGAGACACCCTGGGAGACTCAGATACAACTGAGGTAAAATTTTGGAAGAGGTTTGGAGGTTCTGTTTTATAAAGATGTAGGTGAAAATAAATAAAATTTAGGTAATCATCATTTTGATGTTATTATTCCTACAAGATAGAAAGGCCAGGAAGAAAGTACATTTTCTTATCATATATGTGTAGAATAGTTAGAAAGAACTCTGCAATGCAATCCAGAAGGCAGTGTAAATGTCAGGGTCTTTTACATGGGGGCATTTTCCCAAGTATCAATAAAGAACATTTTAAAAAATATTAGTCTATCTTATTCAAACATTAAAAATAAAGAGCCTTTTATTACCCAGAGACATACAATAAAATAATATAATAATTAAAACTGCATTGGCAGTTAAAGTGTAAGTGCCAACACTGTGACTGAAGTGACAGACTAGGTCAGGGGTGGGCAACCTTTTTGTGAGTGCATGCCAAAACCAGCAAAATCTCTGACTCAAAATTCTTCTGCTTGCCAACCCTAAATTTTTAAGAACATGTTACGCCTACTTGATATCTCTTAAGGTGTACATATGTGAAGAACCTTGAAGAAACAATAAAATTCATTTGAGTGACAAAAACACAGTATATGATGGTGAAAAATACATTTATTTTTTAATGTATACATGTACACTGATAGTCCGACAGAAAACTTTATGACTCTGTTTGATATTATCAGTGGGACTTTTGCTGCTGCATCACTGATGACAGAGATTTTACATCAGGTTTATATTTCGTGACCTTCAGAGATATGCACGAGCTACTACTTTCATCCGTCAGGCTACTCCTATGACGAGACTTAACAAAATTCATCACTGAGAACAAAGATTCACAAGCGTATGTGGATGAAACCAAAACGCTGGTCAGATCTAGGAAGGCAGGGAGAGTTAAGGCAGAGGCATAGAAATTGCTCTTCCCCTCTCTCGTCAATCATGTCTATGGTCTTTAAGATAACTTGTTATGTAAAACTATTAATTTATCTAAGATGCACCTACACTGAATTTATCTGAAAAATAAAAAAGTCGATATTAAGAAAAAAAATTGTAAATGGAAGATTATAAGAGAGGGTTTCGCGTGCCAGCAAAAGTTACTGGCGTGCCATGTTTGGCATGAGTGCCAGGGGTAGCCCATCCCTAGACTAGATTATTGCACTGTGGCCTCAGGGATTGGAAATGCTATGCAGAAATTGTTGATAAATGAGTTTAAAGAATACTTAAAATGTTGCCCTATGCAATAAATATTTAACTCATCTCCATAGATTATCATCATGTGCCCGAATATCAACAGTATAAAATATTTCTTTTCATTATTCTGAGAAATAAATTAAATTTGCTATGTTTATAAAAAATGAAAGATACACTTTGAAGCTAAGGAAGCTAATATTTAAATCTATAGAACAATTTCTAAACTAGGAAGATAATTAAGCTTAGTTCAGACTTTTTCCAACAGCAGATGCAAAAAAATTTCTAGGCAGCTTCCAAATATAGCTATATTTATTCCATGACCATGGAATAAAAATTTAATATTTCATATGATTCTTAGGAGTTCTATCTATGTTACATACCATATGTAGAGGACTGAACTATAAGTTCAATATTTATTAAAATTTAAAGTTTGTAAAATTAGAATTACTTCAAAATAATTTAAAAACTATGAAAAATTAAAACTGTAAGAAATAAGAAGGTACTGAAAACAATATTTTAGAACATATTGTCCTACTGAAAATATACTTAAATATCAAATTCTTTAATTTAACAGCAGGACTCATACTTATTAGTCTTATTGAATGTACAATTTAAGTAATTAGAAATGAATAATCATTATTCCAACTTTTAAATACATTTCCTTTTGTGAATCCTATGTGTTAAAAGAGAAGAATTGATACCTGTCCTGTCATAATAAAAATCTAAAATCTACATTAATTTAAATAAATTTATACCTCTTATTAAAATTTCTTAGATTTTAAAAATATTAATGGTATCCTAATATATTTTTAATTTATTACTTGACCATATTTCAAATAGAGCTCATATGATAGTTTTAATTAAATTTCTAGTAGCTTGCAAAACTTTTTCTATAAAGATATTATCTTGAAAACACCACTGACCACAAATAGCATTAAAAATTTTATACATAAATATTAATGAGTTTATAAACATATTGATAGCTATCTTTATTGAAAATCCATTATGCATCAATCTAGTGCTAGTTACCTTAAATATACATTGAATTCAATTTTTATAATAAACTCATAAGTAGATTTTCTCTCATTTTCAGGTGGGAATATAGGGTTAAATGACTTTTCCAATGTCTACAAATAAGAAAAAAACTTATTTAAAATAAGAATTTAGAATAATGTTTATTATTTACTAGTAGCCATGCACATGAATCTGTGTGCCAGTAGCTCTCTGTGGGGCCTGGCCACTCTGCACCCACTGCCCAGAGGCTCTCCGTGGCCCAGAGGCCAATCTGCGGCCAGGCACAGGGCGATGAGGCAAGAATTCCCCCCCACCCCCTGGCTGCTCTGTGCCTGCTGCATAGAGGTCCTCCGCGGCCAGGGGGGAACGCTTGCCTCATCACCATGGTGATGAAGCAAGCATTCTGCCAGGCCGCTCATGCTGCCTGCTCTCAGCAGCCACCCTCCCGGGACTGGGGGACTCCAGCAGGGCTGAAAGGACTGGGCGCCACCATCTTTGTGATGGAGTGATGGTTAATTTGCACATTACCCTTTTATTAGATAGGATTTCTAGATAATAGCAGTGGTATTATTATCACTATTATCATCATTATTTCTAAATAATTAGAAAAGGGATTTTTCTTAATCTAAAATTATTGATCATATATACTCTAACTTATTTATGTATGACAAAGTTCAGAAAAATAACATACTAAATAAAACAAAATAAAATCCTAAATAAAGTTTCTTTTAAAGCAGATATTTAAAAAAATCAAATCTATAAGGAAAACAAATGAGGAATAACTTTCAAAATTAAGTTCAAGATAGTGGTCTGTCTGAGCCAAAAACTGTATTTTTTCCTCAATCTTAAAACCTGTAGATTTTTTCTGTCCCTTACAGTGTCTGGCATAGACTATGTGTTTGATAAACATTAGTTACATTGATGAATGAAGACATGAATGAATGAATGAATGAAACTTTTAGTCAGCAATATGAATGACAGAAACAGTCATTTGGGGGTGTAGACATAAGGCGCATGTATGTGGATAGATATGTCTGTTTCATTAAGATAAAAGGGATAGTCTTATTTGTATGTAAGTATACATACATACTTTGGCTACATACTTATTATATCAATGTAAATTATTTAAAGGCATATTATCTATAATAAAAGCATAATATGCTAATTAGACCAGACAGCCGGATGACCTTCTAGACGTCCTTTCAAACAAAGGTAGGGCTGTGAGGACCGAGCCCCATACATGAATTTCATGCATTGGGCCTCCAGTAACTTTCATAAAGAGTAATAAGGATACATGATATATTAAAACATTTCCTAAGCCTATATTAATATATGGATTTTTTAGGACTCAGTAATTTGACTTTCATTAATAAAGTATCTTTCACTTGAAGCAAATGGTGTAATATATAAACCATTAGTGCAAAGGAATCCCATTGTTTCATTCTTCCCTTTATCTGAATTTTTTTCAAAATTATGGAAGGAAAAACTCCCTTTTCTATGTGCCTCCTAAACTCTTGAATTCTCAGTTTCATCATATGTGTAGTTAGAAGTCTCTGAACCTAATATGAAACATAAATCTATGGGAATTTTCTTCTCTTCACTTGATAGAGAGATAGTCAGAATTGCAGTTTAGAAGAGAAAATAAAAGTTGTATAAAGACTAGACAAATTATGTGTTTCATCTAGGATAATTTAAGAAGAATCAGCTTTGAATGATGTCAATCTGAGAAAGGATAAAATGTGCCATACTTTTCTCTATTTTATAAATATATGTTCATTAAAGATAATTTTCATTTGACTTCTTTGAAGCTGTGTGTGTGTGTGTGTGTGAACTTTATTAAGAGCCTCTTTAGTATGGTTATATATCAACGTTCCTGAAATAAGCTGGTATGTTACCCAAAAATCTGATTAGTTTTTCCTGATCTGGAGTGATAAAATTAGCTAACTAATTTTCTGACACTAAGTCTAAAAGAGTTTAGATATTAAATTAATAGTACTCATAATTTTTTATAGTATTCCTGTGGGGTGGGGAGTGTGTGTATGTATGATATTACCTATCATCTATATATTTATATGTGCATATATATATTCATATATATATATAAATATTACATATACATAAATATAGTCTATATGTATTACATATATAAATTATGCCATATACCTTAGTCCCTCATAGAAAAAGAAAGAAAGGAAGAGAAAGAGAGTAGAAGGCTATTTAAGACTAGGTTATTTCACTCCATGAAGAATAGGGATGTGTACTACTTAAGGATTTGTTTTTTATTCAACTCCAGATACTTTATCCTTAAAAACAAACAAACAAAAAACCCAACAGTTTAATAAGACAATATATATCTTAAGTTTATGTGGCACTAATTATATTTTTCTAAATATTTATTAATATCTGATGTTCAAAAGATGCAAAGAGAAACACTGCTGAAATTATAACATGGGTAAGATAATATGTCTGTAATTAAACATCTGATTGCATTTTGCTTCATAATCTAGCTATTTTGATCAATGTAGTTAAATAAACTAAAAATTTAGATACTAAGTAGGTTATCCAATTTCAATGTCTATTGACTGAGTAAAATAGATGTTGATCAGGTATCCTTTCTCCATTGTATTGTCTGCTCAAAAGATTCAAGTAAGTATTTTGCCACACAAAGACTGGGTACAAAACAAACTAATTGATTATTTCATCTAAACTAATAAAAAACAATCAATTTGGCCAAATGCATTCTATCAGTAAGACGGAGCATAATGGTTTCTACAATAAAGGCTGCATAAATAATTTAGTAATCAAGAATACACTTTCATTTTAATGTCCCTTTGATTACCAATCTTTTAAAAGTCCTTTTTAAAAATACACTGTCCATCCAAGAAACAGCACTAAACAATTATATGTCAATGACACTGTCTGGAACACCAAATATATTCCTCATAAATTAGAAATATAATCTTCATATGACATGTGTTTTTGTATATCATTGTGACACAATATTCATTTAAGTATTTATTTCCAATGCTTACATGCAAGGAAACTTCCAAATATATGCCTCCAGATTGAGAAATGAAAGGGGAAAATTAATTAATGTAAAACACAAGTACTGTTCTAAATTACTCTCATATAATATATATCTATTCCTTATAAAACATTTTTGAAGAAAGCATGTCTTATCTTTGTTAAATCTTTATGATGTGTCCCAAGTTTACGAAGGAAAAAGTGTCAGGATATGGGTTTAAGACCAAATCCATTTTATAGTTAGCTGAGATATTTCTCATCCATATGTTGCATTTAATTTCAGAAGAGAATGAAAAAAGAAAATGTGATTATATACTGATTGGTGTAATAAAATCCAGAAAATTAATCAATGTGGAATTAAAGGGAACAGCACCCTGAAAACAAAACACCACAGGAGATGAGAAGGGTTATTCTTGTTGATAGTCTTGGCTCCAATTTAGTGTAGACAAACAACAATGGTGGCGGGGGGAGGGACCGGGAGGACATGAATGTAACAAAAAATATTACCATTTGATTTACGCAGGTGAAGCATAATAATCTCTATTTTGTAAAATTAATGTTTAAAATCCTCAGCTGTTTTAAAATGATCCCTTGTTCTATGTAGTCAACTCTGTTATTTTTCAGACAGTTCCTTATTCTGTAAATTAACATTACTTTTTAGTTTGAGTGAATAACAGGTAAGATAAAGTTAGTTGGCTGACCTTGCACGCTAGCCATCTGACGTAAGGGGCTGATACTACTCCCATACTCTGTGTCCAAGGTTACAAGCTGCCTGCAAAAATAACTTACACAGAGCTCTTTGTAAAGTCTGCAGGAGGTCCAGAAAAACCCTTATTTGGGAGACAAAAGGGCTAGAAAGATATAAAGAGGGGAAAATTCCACCATATTTTGCTCAGAATTTGAGAGAGATATTCTGCTCTGAGCCCACTAGCATAATAAAGATTCCTAATTAATTGGCTCATTAGGCATCCTATGTTCTTCTCGCTGATTTACAATATAACACAGGCAATTGTTATATTCTTTATTTCGTGTCCACAACTATAGTTTATACCATCTCAAAAATTTCATTTTTTATTTTTAAAGATAATTTTATCTTTTATTAGCTATTAAAGCTTTATATACTTCTCACTCTATGTACTTCCATTATTTCATGAAATTGCATTTTTATTCCAATGATACCATTGTAATACAGTAGAAAAAATGTTCTTAATTGAGATAGTTTTCTTTTAACGTCCCCCTTTTAGCAGAAATATCTTCAAAATACTCTTGTTGCTAGATAACTTCCTACTGACAACATGTGCAATGAAACACTCAGGCTATAATTTTTCATACTAAGTGCATTGAAATCTAGGCTCATTAAATTTTCACAAAAATATTTCCATTTAAAAAGGAATAATAATTAGAATCATAACAAAAATCTAGTATATACTTTACAAATGGTTTTCTTTATTTAATCCCTAAATTCTAATTCATGGTATTCGTGGGTGGCTTAATAAATCTTAATACACATAGAATAAACCATAGATGTAGATAAAACATAGAATATTATCTGATTTTAATAAGACATGAATATAATAGTAGATTATTTTACTTTCATATCACCTAAATTAATTAAGTGCTTTTCAAATGTACATGAAACTAAGATAAAATATAGTAAGATACTGTTAAAAATGCAATTTCCTTATATAATTTATTTTAAAATATCTTCCCATAATATTTAGTTCCCAATCAAAGGTGTTCTAATGGCTCATAATAATCTTTGAAACCATTAAAAAGTTTTTTTATTTACTTCAACAGACTCCTTCAGTAAAGACAGAATCAAAAAGGAAGTATTTGGAGAAAACATTGAACTTCACTCAGATAGAATTCCCAGAGTTACTCAATCAGGTTATTTAGAACAATAAAATAATAAATTTTTATGGTAACAAATTCCAAGATTTGATTGACTTTGAAGTAAGTAGACATCTTTTATCATAACATTTCAGAAACACTGTCAAAATAAATATTTTTGTATCTACTGAAGTGTTATTATGTTTGAACCTCAGAAGCAATTTTATTTGGTGTTTAATACCTTGTTGCTTTCGTGGATCATAAATCTGAAGCCCAAACAGGGGTGGTCTTTCTCGCCTCAGTAATGTCACCACATTCGTTATCAAATCTAGTTGAAAAATGGAACCATTCATATAATCAGTCCAGAACACATAATTCCCATAATGTGACAGTCCAAAAGGATGGTTCAACTCTTTCCCACTGTAAACAACCTGTAAAATATAAACACATTGTGAAAGTTCAAAACTGACCTTTAGAAACATAACAAGTATTTAAAGTGGTTTTCAAATAAATATAACATATAGTGATCCAACTAATATCTTAACTCACATTTTTCTTTCAGTATATTTGAAAAATAGATTTCACAGGGTGGGCATGTTTTTCTGTTTCTAGAACTTGTTATTTGAAGGAATTCATTCATTTAAATACTCTCATATTTGGCTTTACACGTATGGTCAAGAAATGAAAATGTTAAAATGACTTTGTCTGACACTCTTCCCTGTGTCTTTTCTTTGCAATATTACAGATTCACATCCTGGGATAGAAATTGACCTGAGTAATTAGTGTCATTGTGTATATTGCAATATTGCTCATCCAATAGCCAAGGGATACAAGGTGATATTAAGACATTGGAGTGAAAGGGATCTTTCTATTTTAATTGAGCAAATGCAAATTGAAGAAATGTAGGAGATGACAAGGAAAAAGATAAATTTTCAATTTTGAACGCAGAAACATGAATAGTAAATAGATAAACTAGGTTAGTAGGCTAATTTCAATTCTGATTACCTTGATATATTCTTTACATTCCAGTTTTATATTTTTGTTGTTTAAATAGAGCGATCATGTGATAGGTCCTATTTCACTTGTAGGGTTGTAGGGAGAAAAAAAGGAATAATACCTCCAATAATGATAATACTTTTTCAGCTTTTGCCATTTATAAAACAGATTGTATACAATATGAAAAAGCATATTATATTCACTTCATTTAATATTAGAGAATTGAGGAAGTTATCCAAATAATGTAGGGTTAGCAATCTAAATTTTGCTCCTTTTTTCTGAATTCTTCAAAATAAATTTTCATATAGTGAATAATTGAGACAGTTTCTTATTTATTTTCTCACCTCAATCTAAGCTAAAACATGGGCCATTGAAATGTTATGTCTACTATGTACACGTCAACATCTTCAAAAAAATCATAAATATTTATTTAGTGTCTGTTAAGTATGTGACAGTTTAAATGGCGATGAATTTTACTCATTTGGAGAAAAATATTTAAAGCACTGTTAGAGCGAGTCAATGACTGAAGTAGTCTTAACTGATTAGTATACTATTTATTCCTCAAACAGAATTCATAATGAATGGGCTTAGCCAATTGTGCAGTCTTCCTTTCCAAAAAGGAAGAAAGGAAGTGTAGTATCAAAGACAGCATTTTGATGAATTTAAATATTCCACTTTTCCATTATTTAACTAGACAGTTGAAGTTAGTTTATAATGTTATACATGCTTAGGGAATTATAAGGTAAAATACAGAGGTGATGTTTTCTCAACACTGCCTCTGCTACACAGTCAACAACATCCTCAATTTACCCCTGAATTTCAGAATCATTTTGTAATGATTCTTCCAAAAAGAGGCAAGAGGAAGTTTATATCTATTCATACCAACAAGCTTGAAGCTCAGTTTATTCTTGTGTTTCCATTTCAATGGCATGAAGTCCTTTATTTTAAAGGAAATGCATTATAATTAAGTTTTCATAATCTATAGGCTAAATTTCAGGGGCAAAATTTGAAGATATTTGAATAGAGTAGGGTTGCTTGGTCAGAGCAAACTCATCAAGAATGTAGAATTGCTGCCTTTTAAAGCAGCTCTGATACCCTGAGAGCTTCTTTGAAAAAACTCACAAATCCTGGCACACCCCGGTGAGCGGGCCTGCTCTCCCAGAGGCAAATGCCAGCTGCAGCGCGCCGCTCAGCCTCCTCCAGCCACCCCACCGAGACTGCTGGCAGCCACCTCGGAGCGGTAAAAATAAACTTGAAAGCATTTTTAACACAGCACCACAAGGCTCTGTGAAAACGCAGAAGCCTGCGGATTAAAACCAGCAGCATTTGTCTTTTACCTTCCTGTGAGTTCCATTCAAAAACACCTTTTCAATATGGTCATAATAGGCATCACACCAGTATAAGGTGCTGGTGTGAAAGTCCAGAGTTAAACCGTTTGGCCACAGCATCTTTGAAGTCACAAAAATCTGCCGATTGAAGCCGTCCATCCAGGCCTTCTCGATCCTTCCCACGCTGTCGTCTATCTCATCTTCCTCCCAGTCTGTCCAATACATCCAACTAGGACATTACAAACAAGAGCGTACACGTTATTTAAACCAGCCTCTCTACAGAGGGTCACTTCCGCAAACTGGGCACCTCCATAAAATCTAATTACATTCTGATTTTTCTCCCACTTAAATGCATACCTGTCAAAGGGAGCAGGCGGCTGGGAAGTACCCAGGGAAGTAAGGATGTGTTCAGTGGAGCCCATCTTTTGGACACGTTACAGAAAACACTCTACCACACTTACTGGTCTCAGTGATTAAGCTAACAGTAAATGCCAGATATTGATTTTATTTGGTGCTGATAGAAAGTTTGGGAAATGGTTTGTGAGGCATTACTAACTATTTTTAAATGGTGTTCATTTTATAAAACATATAATCAACTATGTAATTAAAAAGCCCGTTGACTGGCATGAAAACTCCTTATATAGTTAATGATCTACCGCAGACTTTATTTAATCTCAGATGAATTATTAGTTTTCAAGACAGGCAATAGGACTGTCTTTGAACTAAAAGGCACAATCATACTGCGATTGTTTGGCCAGGTCTAATTTGTCTTCCTGATGCAAATTACCTGGTCTTTATGGCTGCTTATTATTACCCCAAAACCCACAGAAGATGATTGAGCTGCACATAAGTTTAATAACAGCAGGTTGACTGACCTTAAGATTCTGAGATTTAATTTCTATCTCAAACAAAAGCTTCCTCCTTGAAGAACAAATCATTCTGTGTCAGCTACAACAGTGGGAGAGGGAATGCTGCCATTCCCTCATGAATAAGGTTAGACCCCTCCACCCATGCTGTTTTAGGGTCGTGCGAAAGTGCTTGAGTTATTAAAGTGTAGGCTTTAATTCAGTCACCTCATAAACAAGTTTGTGAAGGGCCAAAGCTCTCCTAAGCTGCTTACCCTAGGAAGACCCTTATTAGATTCTCTACCTCTCACATTCTGTAGACCCTGAAGAATTTCTGAAGTAAGCTGGTAAACATCTGTATCCATGACGAATAATCCTACAGTGATCTAAACAGGCAGATTTGGGACAGTTTAGGCTGAAACACACCATCCAAACGTTTCGCCCATGAAGCTTTTAAAACTTTTCTTAACTTTATAATTATGTGGATATGCCTTTTTAGACCTGAGGAAGTATATTAAGATTAGTGAATTTTATTGAGTCAAAATACATTCTGATCCTAGAAATAAACATGGCAATATTTATTTTATATCCTGTGTGTTTTTTGAGTGGTTTTATTATTGGAGCAAATTAGGAATAAACAAAAGGGTCATACTGTTTGCTATAATCCTATATAGTTAGGTATAACTATTCAACTTCAACATTTTAAAGCAACTCTGTGAAAGGAAAATGTGCAACTTTTGTCTCCCTATTGATATTTTCATAAAATCTTAAATACAGTTAATCAATGCTCTATTTTTCTTGTTGCTAATTTATAACTTGTTAAAATTGCATTTATCTTTCCCTCTAGCTTTTCTTTTGAACATAGTAACACTTTTGTGTGTGTGTGTGTGTCTCTAACCCAAATTGCACATGCATGTGTACACCTATATATGTACAGATAAATAAAGAAAAATGAAGCATGATAACAGATATTCTAAACATACTTTGTATTGTTTTATATTTGAAGAAATATTTTTGTGATAAGATATGTTACTAAGATTATTTTCAAGCAAAATAAAAGAAAAACATTTAAATAAGTGATGCTAATTTGATAGAGACTATATATGCTATCATCATCTACCTATTTCATTATCTGATTTAAAATTATATAGTAAAAGCCTTATAATCACCATCAAATGTGAGGGTTCTTAAATGCAGAAAATAGAAAACATAACCTATAAAATAACAAATATAAATATTGTTATAGGTGGAACTTGGGGTAGCCATCAAATCAAAATAATGTTAAGCTGGCCTTCTGTTAGTACAGCAAGAAAAAAATGTACCTCTAATTTTCAAGGCCTGTTCAAATGAAAGTTTTTGGTGAAGTTTATTCCTAGCCTTTCTGTCAAAACAGACTCTTTCCTTTGTTTCTTGTGACATCTTTTAGTTTTATTATCTATTGCATTTATTTCTTGAATTGCATTTAATGGTGCTGCATAGCTGATCATTCCAAAAAAGATAAAAATAATTAAAGGCAGGGATTTTTTTCTTATTTATATGTGTGCTTGTAATACTAATTTGGCTTTGCTGATATTAACCATGTCTCTAAATTAAATTGTATTATCTGATGGTCAATCCTAGAAATATCTTAATCCTACGAGTTTCTTTGAAATGGAAGTAAAACAAATTTTATTGAAAAAAATTGATTTTGTTGCTGATATGGTATCTAGCTGTTAACCAGAGAGTGTTATACTATTAGTTGAAATATGGCTGCACAAGATCCTCTTTGGGGGGAAACATGAACTGAGCTTTGGACACAGTCGTATGGATGATAGTTTGAGAAGTGAGAACTGGAAATGTAGGTTTCTAAGTTAGTGATATACATTATGAAATGTGAAATTATTAGGATAAGGGAGTTCATCTGCAATGATCAGCCGGGGAACAATGCCAACCTAATTGACTCCTCCTCCCACTTTATCCCCATTTCAACAATCTAATTAGGCCTGCAATCTAATCCTTTCAGTCTCTCCTGTCTGTCCCCACTTTTCTGTTCCTATTACACATGCTACAGTCTGTCTTTCATCCCTTTTCAAAGGGAACGCCTAATGGGTTGCTTCTCATATACCTGTCACTTGTCTTCCTAAATCATGAATTGAAAGGTATGGCTTTTATCTTCAAACCTTCCAATTACTCTATTGTCAGCAAAATAAATTCAAACTTTTAATCACAACATTGAAGATTTCTGCTTATGTCTAGCCTCATCTCCTACTCTGTTCCTTCACATTCCACCTGCCGCAGCTTTAATGAGGTCATCTCACCTCAGAACTGCTGCTGACTTCCTTTCCTCTCAGTTAGCTGTACTGTCCCTTCAGAGCAGTGACTAACCTTGTGACTGCACAGCCCAAGCCCTTGGGACAATTTTGTTAATCTTGGACTCCTGTTCATCCAATAACACTCAATTCTGTATTAAAAACCTCAGTAATTTCTGAGGATCATGTATATCTTTGTTTTATTTAATAGGTAATTGTGTGTATGTGTCTGTGTGTGTGTGTGTGTGTGTGTGTGTGTGTGTATACACATAAGCACACCAGATTATAAACTCCTTCAGGACAATTATTGTCTTAATAATTTATATTGATCTATATGGTAATCAAAAATATACTTTAATGAAAAATAAATGAATCCTTAACTGACTCTATAATTGGTTATGAAGCTTTTGATAAAACACCTCTGACAGAGTAATTTTGTTAACAGGCAATCACAGATTTTCTTCTTCTGTATACAGCTGCAAAAAGATATTATGGTAGAAACAATGTAAGTAAATCATTTTTTTCCTGAAGTTTTGCTTAAAGATACACTGTGTTATTTTAAATGCAGTTTTCTGAGCTAAAGTTTCTTCTTCATTTTAAAAATTGTATTAGGGTCAAACAAACTATTTGGATAATTAAACTGGTATAGTTACATTTCAAATTTCTATGTCTTCCATCCATTCTTCACAGAATAGTGAAATTAGTGTTTTTAATATAAAGATGATTATATTAATTTCCTATTTTAACACTGAAGACAAAGTACAAAGCTCTCATCCTGGTGGGCAAGGGCCCACTGTCCTTTTCAATTGCACCTGCGTCACCTTCCCCCTTGCTATCTGCAATCCAACCCCGCTGTTTTCACTTCAGTTTCTCTGACACTCAATCCTTGTCCACCTTAATATCCTCAAATGTACCACTTTCTTTATCTGGAACACTCTTTTCCTCACTGTCCATGGCTGATTCCTTCTCTGCAATGAAGTCTCAGATTACCTGATGGCTCCTTAAAGAGGCCTTTCAGCAAACCTATTTAACAGGCTTCTACCCTTAGTCTACACCTTTTTGCCTTCCTCCATCACTTTGGTCTATCTCCTCTCCCTCACCTTGCAGGTAACACAAGATGCTTCATAAGGTTAAGACTATGCCTATTTTATTAACCATTATATACCTGGTACAAAGCGCTGGGCATAGTATATTTCTAGGGAAAATATATACATACACACACATGTATATATGCACATATGTGTCTGTTTTACAGGTTGGTGCATAAGAGTAGTAGTCTATTTGAAAATCCATAGAATGAAAAAGGTATTAGAGTCATTCTTTGTAACACTAGAGGCAAATAGAGGGTCAGTTATAAGGCAATAATCACAGGGGATAAAGATACTTCCTTAAATAAAAGAAAAACATATCAATCAGAATTTCCCCCAAATACTACAAACTATGTAGATGCTATAGGTTTCACATAAAGTTGAATGTCTGCCTATTAGGGAAGTGTTGAAAGAGATTCCTAAATTTGAAGAGAGAGATGGAACTAGTGGCTTCTAAATGTCCTCCCTAATCATATGATTCTATGACCTCCATGTTTGCATCATCTTCCTGAGCATCACAAAGGCCCTTTCACTCTATCAAAATATATTTTTTCTCTAACAGAATACCGAGAAAGAAGATGCTGTTTTAAGGCACATTTAAAACATCTTGCTTCAAGTAGAATTAGACAGTGTGGAATAAATATTTTTCTCTTAAAATTAATATTGGCTTGGTTTAAAGGTCAGATAGATGACTTGGTTTAAAAGCCCAGGAATAGAGTAGATAATTACAGAATCTATCCATACAATCACTGATATTACTTTATAATTATGTCTTCCCGAAACACATACAATGAATTCATTCACTGCTTGGGTGTCAGCCTCAGAGGAAGCACCCGGACTCTATTTGCAGCTGTACTCCAGACAAATAATTCTAGAGAAGGTGACCTCAGCCTATAAGGGAGTCATATGCTTCCTCTTTAATTAAGTCTGTTTTGTATGTTTGTCCTAAGATATGAAAAATATTTCTTTGGTGATGCTGTTTTGAAATAGTGAAATGTAAGCCATGGAGGGGTAAAAAACCACATGTAACAGTTGTACCTGTAAAATATGCAATCTACTCAATTAATTCTGAGATTCTGTTAGGAATTTTCACATTTCTCCGATATTTCTATATGCTCACTATTATATTCAGGTAATAACTCTGAAAAAACATCAAAGGGGAATATATTCCCAGGAATTGCACAAAATATTCCACGCTAAAACAAATAGTGCACACTGTAAAATGATGTCACGGTATGGAAACTATGGTTATGTCTAAAAATTATATGATTACCAATCTAGACTATTAAAAAAGTAGCAGAGTATAGTGGCTATGAGTAAAGTCTTGGAGACAAGCGGCTGGGGTTTAAATCTACCCAATCTCTCAATAATTAAACAGTCTTTTGAAGATCAGTTACCAATTTCTCCTTTGTAAAACAAGGATGAGGTTAGCAACTATTTCAAAGGATTGTTATGAGGACTGCAGAACAGGAGCATAGTGACCCATTTAACAAAATGACTGGCCCACACATCAAGTGTACACAAAACTTGGCTATTTTTGAATACATTACATTTCAATAGCCTTTAAAAAGTTAAATTGCTTGATTCTCTGATTATTTATCTTGGTGTCAGGCTGTCTAAAATGGAGAATTATGGTGCTTGTCTGAATAAATCAAGTAAATATATCCTTCCTACAAATGATCTGTTTCTTTCAGTTCAATGTATTTTTGACATATTTATTTAGCACATTCTCTAGGGGAGCAAATCACTAAATAAGTAACTTTTTCCAATCAGACCATTCATGTGTGAATTCACATGTGAACTTAAAAAAACAAAACAAATGTATTTGATATAATTTCCTTACATAAAGCTAATAAAGATCTCGTACCCATTAACAGGATCCACCACAATCCCTCTGGGGTGGGACATCTCTCCCTCCAGAAGGGTCTTCCGACTCTGAGCGGCCTTCTCCAGCCGGGCCACGTTGATGGTCTTCCTGGAGCCATCGTTTGTCCAGTAAAGGTTGTGTCCGATCCAGTCCACAGCAATGCCCTCCACATTGTCCAGGTCTGCAAACAGCAAGAACCAGAAAGGAACACATTTCTCAATAGTGTCCACTGCTTATGTTCTGCTTCATAAAAAGTTTAATTAAAAAAGAAATGATTTCTTCATAATGTGATTTGTGCAGATGTTATCATTCCATAGAACATTGTTCAATTTTATTTTGAATGCCATTGTGCCTTTTTTAAAATTGTATGTTCTTTACATTTATTTTTTTAAAATTGTTTGATGCTGACAATATTGCAGTGGCCCCCTTTGCCCACCTCTTCCCTTGGTCTTCACCAAATTACAGTCCATGTTCATGGAGTATGAGTATATGTTCTTTAGCTAATCCTTTCACCTTCATTATCCAGTCCCCTCCCACCCACCTTCCCTCGGGTACCAGACAATTTGTTCCATGTATCTATACGTCTATTAAAGAACACCATTGCAGCTTCTATAAGATATAGGCAGCAATAACCCAAAGTAATGTTATAAATATATAATCTTACAAATTCACCTAATTCATACACTTCACAGAAAGGGAAACTCTGAAAGTGAAGGTTTATAATCTATTATCACATAAGAGGTGTAGAACTGAGGTAAAATTCCAAGTCAGATCATCTCCAATGTAGAGATCTTTAAAAATGCACTGCTCCTATGGTGGGTCCTGTCCTCACTTTTTGCCATTTTGTAAACTACCCTCCAAACTCTCTACAGCACAGTAATCGTAGTTCCATTCCTCTAGAGCAGCGGTTCTCAACCTGTGGGTCGCGACCCCTTTGGGGGTCGAACGACCCTTTCACAGGGGTCGTCTAAGACCATCGGAAAACACATATATAATTACATATTGTTTTTGTGATTAATCACTATGCTTTAATTATGTTCAATTTGTAACAATGAAATTGGGGGTCACCACGACATGAGGAACTGTATTAAAGGGTCGCGGCATTAGGAAGGTTGAGAACCACTGCCTATTGCATGAGAAATTACTGTGAAGTCCTTCTTTTCTTTCAAAACCAGGGAAGCCTCTTCTTCCTGCATATGAGATAAGGAACTGCAACTTACTGGACAAAGCAAGAGGTAGTACATTGGAGACAGAGCTGTGCATTCGCACACTATATGGCATGTATTGCCTCATATGCAGATGTAATACAGATTTGATATTCTTTTTAAAAAATATTTTATATATTATATATTTTAGAGGGGAAGAGAGAGTGAGAGATATAAACATCAGTGATGAGAGAGAATTGTTGATCAGCTGCCTCCAGCATGCCCCACATTGGGGATGGAGCTGCAATCCAGGCATGTGCCCTGATTTGGAATCAAATCATACCCCTGGGTTCATAGGTCGATGCTCAATCATTGAGCCATGCTGGCTAGGCACTATCATAATATTCTTTAATTGCACAATCCTTCTGACCTTGTAAAAAAAAGAAAATTTTCTTTTGTAACCTTTCCTGCTAATCAGTATGTGCCCTGACTCAAAATGACTAATACAACATGTGATCTGATCTAACTGAAAATCTCATTATAGTGAATCAGATATGTTCTCAATTTCACTAAGCTATCTTCTTCATTACCATCCAGTATGAGTAATTTCCACAGGTTAATTATGTCTATGCTTTTAAAAAGTTTAATTTTATCTTTACTTTATAGACAATTTTTTGAGCACTATGGCATAATGGAAAGATATAGTAGTTGGTTTCTTTTTGTTGTTGTTTTGTTTTTTCTATTTGACATAGTCTGTGGCTGATTTTTATCATGTTAGTTGGTTTTCAAAAATTGTACTACATTTGAATTATGCTCCAGCATGGAAACTTCCTTCCTCAATAACCTTCTTATTTTTAAAATATTTCCTTTTGACTTCTGACTTGAGACTGTTACATTTTTTTCATATTAAGCAGTTTCAATATTATCTGGATTGAAATTTTGTTTCTGACACTTGGGTAAGCAACTTAGTCACTTTGATTCTTAAATTATCCATTTGTAAAGTGAGGATTCTTAAATTATCCATTAGCACCTATGCTGTAGTGTGATAACAAAGTGTAAATTAGCTACTGCATGTAAAACAGCATCCTGTCTGGAATATTGTAAAATCTCAATATATGTTAGTTTTTATTAATTTATCAGGTAAAATATTTGATATAAATCCTGGATCTTTTCCTTCTGAGTGCTACTTGATAGAAATATACTTTATGTTTTTTTTTAATGATTATTCAATACTATTTTCTGGAATTTTGACTAGTGACTAACTTTAACTAGAAATTGGATATCCAGAGTCAGTTGTGAATAAATAGTAAGAGTGGGATTGCATTGAATTCTAAAAAGTAGAATCTGAGTGGATTGTGCCTTAATTGGGTTGTTTGAGTTATCTTTGAAAAACAAGTGTTTGAACAGGATAAAGTATTAGTTAGAATCCAAGTTCTGGGATCACACAGCCCAGGTTCTGCCACTCACTACACTATTTATCTAACTGAGAGAGTTCCTTAGCCTTTCATTCTTCAACTTCCTGATATTTAAAATGGGTGTAATGTTTTGTTACTAGGCCAAGGAAATACATGACTATTCAAATACAAGAAAGGCATTTGATAAAGAGAAACTTGCTTAGAGTAGACTTCTTCGATACCTTTGGGTAGAGCTCAAGTATTCTACATTCCAAAATTAATAGTACTGTTTTGAGGATTAAATAAATTAATATATGTGAAATTATTAAAATAGGTTTCTCGTAATAAATATTATATAAAGTTGCAATTATATCATTATTAGAATAATCTTCCCTTTAGCTACCTATCTAATCTGGTAAAATAGCAGTGAAGCAATTAGCCTAGTATATTTTCTAATGTTGCTATTTTTATGTCTGTTTTGTTTGCTTTTTTTTCTGTTCTGGGAAGAATGTAGATGAATACAAATTTTAAAGAAACTCCTAAAAGAGTGTATGTGGAAACTGAGTATCTTTTCAGGCTATGGTTAACATAGAACAGAAGAAATTTCTTTCTTATACTTATAGGACAAAGCCTGAACAATCAGTGAATGCTTTTCTCAACAAATAATACATTGGTAAAGGAAGTAGTCTGCCTCCATATCATATGTATAATCCTTTAATTAATCTATAACTTAGATGGAATGCTAAGACACATAGAGTATCGGTTTTATGTACATTTGATATTTTATTCAAGTGGGTTTGCTTGGGGCCTGCCTGAGATTGACTATTGCAAACTCTATGACCAACATCCTTCAACATGGTGATCAGGACATATGGTTTCAGACAATGTCTGTGAACAACATAGATACTATTTGCTAGCCCAAAGAAACACATGCATATTCAAAGGCAAGAAAGTTGTTTGATAAAAAAAAAGTTACTAAAAACAGATTTTTTTTGATACCGTTGGGTAGAGTTCAAGTATTCTACATTCCAAATTCAACATTTGCACCTATGTTGCTGTTATTATTATTATTATTACTATTACATAACTAATAGCAAATATCCATTTTCATTTATCAATGGGCAAGGACTCTCAACATGTTTTTACTTTTTTTTTAAAAGAAAAATTCTAGTAGATAATGCTTTCTTGTATTTTTCTTTTTTTAGGTTATATGTATATACATTTCATTCTAAGTGAAAAAAATGACATCATATAATTCATATTAAAAAAAGACTTTTTCATGTAGTCTATAAATACTTAAGATAAGTATATTATTTTGGCTCAAATTATTAAAAATATTCCTTTTAAACATTATTCTATAAAAATAACTTTTACAAACAGACATAATATATAAATGAATGTTTTAAAACATACATCTCATCAAAAACTATACTTAAGTGAAAAATTATCAAAGGTACCAATGTTATTTCCTACAATTGATAGCTACCACTAAGGAAATAAGGATGAATAAGATATAATAATAAAATAGATATAAATTAAAAAGAATAATTATGTAATTATTTTAAAAATAAATAAGAATTATTTAAACATTTAAATCAAACATATATAATTTATTTATTTAAAGACTTAAAACTAATAAATAAGACAGAAAAAGTAATTTAAATTAATTTAATAACTTGGATTAGAAAATAAGCACTTTAAAAAAAGTGGAGAAAAGCCTTTTTCTAAAACTAAAACATCATTATAGGTCTGACTTTTTTGATACTACATATTTACAGAAAATAAGGGAATTAAAGTTTTATATATTAAAAATACAATCTTCCACTTTTAAAAATGGATCTAAGATTTTTTTAAAAAATTAACAAAAAGGCTGTGAGCAGTGGTCTCAGTATTAAGGTGCATAAGCTGTATATCCAGAGTAATCCATGTCTTGATGCTTTACAGTAGAATTTAATTAACATAATAAGGAATTAATTGGAAATCATACCCCACAATTTTCATGATAAAAGCACAGTGCCAGCATTTTTCTTAGGTACCCACGTTTTTCTATTCTTAGTATGAATATTATGTTTCTGTGTTGGAATCAAGTATTGGAAAAGTGGCTGCAGGAGTGTAGGGTGTGGGCACAGGCCTTAAATAACTGCATGTGCAGTGTGCATGTAGATATGCCTCAGGCCAGGGATGCAGTAGCTTGCCTCAGAGTCAGCACGTGGACAGCTCTCCTGCCTCAAATTCGTGTAGTTCAATTAATACAGATTCTCTTTGTGCATTTCAATATGGACTGAGGCATCCGCTCTTAAGTATATGACATGAATGAATTAAACTGATTTAATTAGTAGTGTGGCAGTAAAATTTGCCCGCTGAATTTTTTATCTCATGAGGTTACAGAAGTCTTTGGTCACACTGAAGTTTCCGTTATCATCTGTCCCCAAAGGCCAGCTGAGACTAATGTTGTCATCCTCATTCTCATTCCAAGTCCCTTCTCAGTTCAGTTATTAGGCCAAGGAAGGGGAATACACAAGCTACTCTCAATCAGAACAAAACACTTTGCTGCTATAATTAAAGAGATATGTAAAGTACGTCTTATTTTTCAGATGAGCAAAATATATGAAAACAAAATATATGAAACCAATATATGAAGA